CTTTGAAGATGATCACTTGGTGATCGAAATACGTGTCGAGGTGTTAAAAATAACGATTTGGTGTTGGAAAAAAAACTCTAGTAATATTCATTACTACACCAAAGGTTTCAAACAGTGCATCATAAGTACAAAGGAGGAAGAAGAACAGTACCAAGAACAGTACCTTGAGGTACATTCAGGTCATCACCTATTTTCACTACTTGTTTCTTTTTTTTTTAAAAACCAGAATATTGAGACATTTTCCTCGAATTCCTTTCCTTTCTAATGTTTGTACTAATATAGTGTGGTCCACAGTATCGAAGGCTTTTTTTGGTCAATGAAGAAACATAAACAAGGCTTTCCATTTTCTAGGGCTTTATGAATTTCATTTGTTAACTCCATCTTCTGTGGAAGTTCTTTCTTTGAAACCAAATTGTTTTTCAGAAATTAAATGATATTTGTTAATAAAGTTTACTAATCTTGCTTTTATGAATTTTTCCAGGATTTTCGATAAATGGTTGATCAGAGATACTGGTCTATAATTAGTCACAGAGGTTTCGTCCCCGTTTATGGGCACACTATAGATCCTTGAACACATCAGGTCAAATTTACTTCGGTCCTGATTCCATCGGCTCCCGGTGACTTGTTATTTTTGAGTTGATGGATGATATTCAAAATTTCCTCATTATCAGCTTCTCTCTATATAATTGAACTTGGTATCGTCACTGATTTTATTTGAAAATTAGTATTTTTTATTATTTTTCCTGATGAAACCTTACCCATTTCAATAAATTTAGAATTGAACTCATTGGCAATTTCGGTTTTGTTAGTTAACATTTCGCAGCGATCATTCTTTATTGGCCCTGTGACTTTAGTTTTTATTTTTTACTAGTAAGTTTTTGTTGGGCCACTGAAATCAATCAAGCCGCCTCGGAGCGTCAATAAATTTTTATTGTTATTGTTTCATAGTTTCATGATTTTTATTACTTTCTTCTTTACTACATTCATTATAGATATGTTCATATTTTGTGTATGTTAATTATCTCTCAACATGTTATCAATTTTTTGTTGTATGGTTGTATCTGTCGAATTTTATCTGAGTCAGAGATTTTTTTAAATGCCTAATGCCTTAGGGAAATGAAAATGATGAAAATGATGATCATTATTTATTTTTGAAATCAATGTTTAGTCTTCAAAAAGACAGAGTAGTTCTGAAATGAGACTGAAATATCAAAGGAAAAAACCGAAACGTCACTAAATTAGCAGGGTACACTTGTCGTTTGCGTGGTTCATTTCGAAATTTGACGAAAAACAAAAAATATTTCAACCATATAATTATTTGTCTACTCACTTATTTCTTTGAAACATCGAGGACAGCAGATGCATAATTCTGGCACAGTTCTCTCCACTTCATCTTTTGTGCAGTTTACTGCAACACATTTTAACTTGTTATTGTCGCAACATTCAGAGCTAGATGTTCCAATAGGCAGTGTTACAAGTATAAAAAAGATGCAGCAAATCGCTATAACAAAAATTTGTACTTTGTGATTCATTGTCCGAAAGAAATAATTGTTTTGTCTGACTGTTGACAGCGTACTGCCTGGGTTTAACGGAATACTATGAGAAAGACTGAACTTGATTTAATATTTGCACACAGTGGCGTATTTACTGAAACATGAGTAGCGACATTGCACATCTGAATTCAATTTTGTCATCGGCACTCTAACAGTATTGACAAATCACTTATTGTTTTGGAATAAAGTATGTGAGAGGTACTGAATAAAATCGTTAATTGATTCATTGAATTCAAATACAGTGATTCATTTATACAATGAAAGGAATGGAAGCGAGTTAGATAGCATTAATGAAAAGCATTCAGAAGAAATGAACTGATTGAAATATTAACTCAGGTATACCCATTGGCTAGCCAACAAATAACTCATCGAAGCTTAGAAGTCTTCGAACAGTCATCGATTTGAGGCAGCAGTTAACATCACTAGTTCAAAAACCCTCATATGGGACGGTTGTCGCGGGTGTCAAAGTGGGAATCTTGCACCTTGACTATCCGACTTCCTCATTAACGATGAAACAGCACAGCATATACTTTGTGCCTGTCCCTCTGGGGACCTAATTAGGTTTTTAGAGCCTAGCCAAGCTAGTCAACATTTCAGTTTTTCAGAAAAAGTTGACGGCTAAGTAAAAGAGAAGACATCTACATATGAATATTAATGGAGTTTTATCCAAACACCAAACCCTTATGTTAACACCTCGACACGTGTTTGGATCACCAAGTGATCATATTCAAGAGGAAGTTAACTCTTCTTCTCTTGTATGTATTATTTATTTACATCATGAAATGAAATGAATTCCAACATTATTATTTAATGTTGTTATACATTATAATAATGTTTATTCAGATTCAAATCACAAAAAGAAATAACTAAAGTGATACCTACATACAGTTGAATAAACATCGTAGAAACCACAGAAACATCAGATATTGCTTATATGTGGTAATTAATTAATAATAGATACAAATAATAGATATTAAACTCCGAAAAATTCACTCGGTTAGTAAAAATTATCCAAGACGAACCGCCAATTCTGCAGCCCACGTGGACTATTTCGCAGCCCGTTCATTTCTATGTATTGATTTTTTTGGCCTTTGAGGGTGCCGCCAACTTCAAATGTGCACAATATCGTTTATTTCGACCATACATAAGTACACACACACACATTCTTTTTGAGAAAAATTAATATTCACCTTATTTTTTGAACAGACAGCGTAATTAAAGATTACGTAATTAAAGATTACTACATACTTTTTTTACAAACAATGTCTTGTCGAATAAATAATACTCCACATTACTCATCAGTTCGGATTTATTAAACGACATATTCACAATTCAAAGCGATAGAAACATTGGAATTTGTAGCTGTTCTAAAAGTACTTCATCAGAAAACTTAATGACATCTTCTTTTCACGCATACACCATCTTTACCGCAAACCAGACCATCGACACATTTTGCCATGAAAGGAGTTCCTATTGTTAGTGGACGACATCTATCATTTTCATCTGGAACAAATAATATTGATGATATACTTATTCATTTGAAACGAATTTAGGTAAAATAGAATTCAATACATTTTTTATGGACACGAAAGCTGTGTCTGGAACTTTTATATCGCACACTTGAATGAAAAAAGAGGATTGCTCTTAGCGAAATACAAACTATCAACATTTATCTTCAGTTTCAAATAATCATATCAACTTTATGTTTTCAATTGTGTTATTGGTGCTATCTTCGGATGACCTTATGGATGAATACTAGAAATCAAAATGGTTGAATGCAAGTTTTTTTGTAGAAATGTTTTGTAAACAGAAGAACACATGATGTGTGGAGTCTGTATAGGGGGAGCAATTAAAATAGTGGTACGAATTAAAATATGTTCTGTATAATATCAACACACACTGTCTAAAGTACTTCTAGAAATATTATGTGTTTATAAAATTACTACCTAAGTAAAAGATAACATGAATAAAATTATTAGTATTTTAAGCATGGATTGAATAGAATTTAGTTGGTATGGAAACGCTTGATAAAGCTATTATAGCGAAACAGGTTTTTCGGTTTTGAAAATTGTCTAGTGGAAATGACAAAATGTTAAAAAACAATACCGATATATATTCATTCGAATCTCATGAAAGCATTTAGTTAATGAAACACTGACACATCACTAAAGAACATTCTGTAAAATGATTCTTAACTCAGTTTTCAACTCTCAGTGTGAAATATCATTCAACAAGTCTTTGAATACATTATTTCTGTACCTGTATTGTTTATTTTTTCTTTACACTTACAAAGTTTTGTGTAGCAAGCATCACAACATCCGCAAGTACTTCCTTTTTCGACAAATATCTGTGTTTCATTGCAATGTGCAGGTGCACATTTCACTGTGTGACAATAATTTTCTGGGCACACGAACCCTTCTGAAAAGACAATAAAAGAAATGAAAATCCACAGAACTGAAAGTCCCTTCATTATTATGAGTATAACCACTACTTATAACAAGAAGTTATGATGATATTACTTACTGTTCGCAATATATATTTCAAAATATTCAACTAGTTCCAGGATCGCATTCAGAGACTGGTTCGTAAAGTTTTATAGTAACTGAATGAATGGAATGATTGAAGCAAAGTACGATTCTTTCGAATAAGGTAAGAGAATAATTAGAAAGGGAAAAGGTAACAACAAAAGACTAACGTATTTTGAAATAACTTGGGGAAGGGGTAACAAGACGGGGTACTGTCGTTTGCAAACGGTTGCGTTTGCTGTATTTCTCGATATTAAAGGAGCGTTCGACAATGCATTCTAAATCTATAGATTTAGAATAGACCATAAGTGAATGGATCTATGCCATATTGGTAAATAGAACTGCAACTACGACTCTTCAAGACGAGGCCGTTAGGTTCAGGGTCTCCAGGGGCTGCCCTCAAGGTGGGGTACTATCTCCCTTCTATGGTCGCTTCTGATGGATAGTCTGCTTGATACCCTCGTTAGAGGAGAAGTAGATCTGCAAGCTTATGCAGATGACCTTGTCATCTTGGCAAGGTTCATGTCGGGAAGGGAAGCGTGTAATATCCTCCAAAGTACGATGGACGTAGTTCACAGTTGGTGCCAGAGGGAGCAGATGTCTGTCAACCCCAGCAAAACTATGATAATCCCCTTCACCGGGAGGAGAAAGTTGGACGATCTACGTTCCCTCAATGGTAAGGTCATTCCATTTGGAACGGAGGCGAAATATCTTGGCATTGTCTTTGATAAAAAACTCACCTGGAACGCTCATTTGGAAAAAGTTTTACACAAATCCAGACTGTCCCTATCAAAGGATTTGTAGTGAAACTTGGGGGTTTAGGTCCCAAATTCATTGGATATATGTGATGATTGTTAGACCACTGATCGCAGGCTAAGCTCTCTGGCTTACAGATACAGGCTTGTCTGGCTATCTGTGATGCCATCGGTACCTCCACTGCACATTTTTCTGGAGAGAGAGACTAGATGGACTGCATATCGCCAATTGCATAAAGCAATCTAATGTAGAGTACACTAGACTGCTGGCTGACACTGGAAGTCACAGCATTCTGGGAATGACCTCTGACATTATGCCTCCAACTGTCAACTATGAACTGCCTTATACAGTGCTTTTCCCGAGTAGAGAGGATTGGGTTCCGGGAGATGGCAATTTTAAGAGCATATAGTTGTTGGTTCACAGATGGATCAAAAACACCTTTCGGTTCTGGTACAGGTGTTTTTAGTCGCAGACCCAGGACAGAGTTATCTACCTGCCTAGGAACTTATGGGACTGTATTTCAAGCGGAAATATATGCTATTGAATTGTGTGCGCTGAGACTGGCAGAATCCAACCTCACACACAAGTCAATAAAAAAATTCTCGGACAGTCAAGCGGCGTTGGAAGCTCTTGGCTCCGCTTCTACCGAGCAACGTCTGAGTTGATACCAAATTGCCAAAAACTATTCTCCTCGATAGGAAGAACAAATTCTGGCCACACTGGTTCAAAGAGGAAATAACCTTCCCTAACCTGAGAAATAAACTGCGCAGCATATTTATTTTGCAGAAGACGGCCCTGATAGCAAATAACACAATGTTTTCTCGCATTTCAACATATGTTATTCACATTCTTTATTATGTTTACTTGATTTACCTTCATACTAAATTGGGTATTTGTCGATTCTCCGAGAATATCTTCACCTTAAGTATTTTTTATCGATAGGAAGAACTCAGTGCTACTGTTCCTAATTGATCTTACAAAATTGATTGAAATTGTTTTTTAACATCTAGTATGTCATATAACGTTGTGATGCAACAGGATGAATGTTACAAGAAGAAGATGAAAACTGATACCACAAGTTCTCAAAATTTTATAAATAAACTTCCATTTGTAAACGAAAACAACGCTATGTGTTGGTTGATCCTTTCGACCTCTCTTTTCTCCTCCAGTGTTAAATAAAACGTGCCAAATGATAAATCAAACATAATGATGGAGGTCATTCGGTGCTGTATAGTACTTCCCTACATTATGCCTTGATTGTTAGTCACTATAATTTAGACCAACATTTTCAATACAGTACTAGATTGGAAGGAGAGGCAGTAAATGGCCACCACAGTCACCAGATTTGTCGTTCCTTGAGTAAATAGATAGAAAGTTAAATCTATAAATTTATTCGGAAATGCAAACTAAGGTGAATTGTATTCATCACTGTGAGCAAAAATATTATTCGAAATAGAAGCGGAGGCGGCTCCATTTAAAACAAATGTTGCTTTGTCAAATTTTAAAAAAAATGAAGCATCACCTCGGCTTCTAGCCATGAAATCGGGATTGGAGATCAGGGTCATCTTCTTGAATTTTCAAACCAGATGGATTCTTTATGAATGATATTTTTATACTGGCGACTCGCCCGGCTCCGCACGGGTGTAATGCTGAATATACATATATACGCGTGCGATCACTGCTGATCTTATAATGTACTATAAGGTGAAGTGCGGCCTTCGACGAGCTATTTATAGGCACGCACCACCGGCCCCGGCCGGTACCGCCGCAACCGCTATGTCNCCTAATGCCTTAGGGAAATGAAAATGATGAAAATGATGATCATTATTTATTTTTGAAATCAATGTTTAGTCTTCAAAAAGACAGAGTAGTTCTGAAATGAGACTGAAATATCAAAGGAAAAAACCGAAACGTCACTAAATTAGCAGGGTACACTTGTCGTTTGCGTGGTTCATTTCGAAATTTGACGAAAAACAAAAAATATTTCAACCATATAATTATTTGTCTACTCACTTATTTTTTTGAAACATCGAGGACAGCAGATGCATAATTCTGGCACAGTTCTCTCCACTTCATCTTTTGAGCAGTTTACTGCAACACATTTTAACTTGTTATTGTCGCAACATTCAGAGCTAGATGTTCCAATAGGCAGTGTTACAAGTATAAAAAAGATGCAGCAAATCGCTATAACAAAAATTTGTACTTTGTGATTCATTGTCCGAAAGAAATAATTGTTTTGTCTGACTGTTGACAGCGTACTGCCTGGGTTTAACGGAATACTATGAGAAAGACTGAACTTGATTTAATATTTGCACACAGTGGCGTATTTACTGAAACATGAGTAGCGACATTGCACATCTGAATTCAATTTTGTCATCGGCACTCTAACAGTATTGACAAATCACTTATTGTTTTGGAATAAAGTATGTGAGAGGTACTGAATAAAATCGTTAATTGATTCATTGAATTCAAATACAGTGATTCATTTATACAATGAAAGGAATGGAAGCGAGTTAGATAGCATTAATGAAAAGCATTCAGAAGAAATGAACTGATTGAAATATTAACTCAGGTATACCCATTGGCTAGCCAACAAATAACTCATCGAAGCTTAGAAGTCTTCGAACAGTCATCGATTTGAGGCAGCAGTTAACATCACTAGTTAATAGCCACTGATAATATTTCAAACAGCAATATCAATTTAGGAGCATATATCAACAATCAAAGGAAACTAGCTGAAGTGTAATGTAGGTAATGAACTAAAAGAGTTCGTGGAACAAACAAGTAGTTTATTCCACATAAACGCAGTTTTCTAGAAAAAAGAGTGAAGTTCGAGGTGTACTGAGTTGAACCTCAAAACGATGAGTAGCCACAGTCCGTCGCGAATTTCTGATATGTATCGCTCTTGGTGGAATCAAATGTGCCAAGTCACTTGACCACCTCCTGTAGAAGTATCTATGAAAGAGAGGCGTAGCGGTCCGCCAGTCATCTCAACATGCCTTTCACTTCAATATTCATTCGAACAAAAAACACCTCACTTTTTAACTCCACTCCGACCACGACACCCACGTGCCATCTTTCAGGACGGTCGTTATCGGTACAACCGTCCTCTGTCGCGATCGGAGAGGAAGCTCTTGAAGTTAGCTAGTCAAGACAGGTTGGCTGTCCTTGTTCATCTTTCACTGCTTGAACCACTGTGCATGCTGTTTTTGGCGAGTGCATTGGCATTGGCTTGGGATGTGGGGGTTGAGCAAACCGGACATCGAATGCCTGCTTCTACGTAGCCCCGCTGGATGCGGGAATGACAGAAATACTTGTGGTTCTGTTTTTCCCTAACTGAATGGCATCCCGACGTTGGCGTATCCATGACGAGAGGATGAATGACACTAAGCCTATCAGCTGTCACTACGGAACCTTCGAGATACCGGGCGCCCTCTCGTCGTAGCATCGCCTTGTCACGGTAATGCAGGGCTCTGCCGTGATTGACCATCTTTCTCTAGCTACTTGTGGGACTTTTATGGACAGAGTAAATTTAAAAATTCTTTCTGACGCTGAGTCTACAGAGGAGATGGATGTCGAGTTTACGACTCCAACTGACCTCCCTGTAAATTTAGTCCAGGAGCGAGAGCTTCTCAACTCTCCAACTCCTGAT